ACCTCTGAGGTCTAACACCTCTCACACACACACACCTCTGAGGTCTAACACCTCACACACACACACACTCACTCACACACCTCTGAGGTCTAACACCTCACACACACACACACACACTCACACACCTCTGAGGTCTAACACCAGGCTGTGGTTTAGATGTGAGCAGATTCTCCCGTCCTCGCTGAGACTCCAGCGCTGGTTCACTCGCCCATGTTCTTCCCATAATGCCACTCTGGCTCCGGCGCAGGCCTTGGCCCCGATCACACACAGACAGCCGCGCAGCGCCTGCATGCACACACACACACACACACAACGCCTGAATCACTGCGAACTGTCAGCGGAGAGTCTCTGAAGTCCAGCACTCCTGCTTCTGACACACATCACATGACAGCCAAACTCGTTTCTGAAACTATGATAAGATGAAACGGATATTCAGGCTTGAACACTGTTTTACTCTGTAGCGAACCGGGAACACAGTGGTCACACTTTACACTACGGTTCATTAGTGAACATGAACTAAGAATGATCAATACTTCTGCAGCATTAATCTTAGTTAATATTAATTTCAACATTTACTAATACGTTATTAAAATCAAAGGTTGTATTTGTTAACATTAGTGAATGCACTGTCAACTAACATTAAAGGTGACATATTACGCCCCTTTGCACAAGATGTAATATAAATCTATGGCGTCATACCAGATCATGTATTACAGCTCGTCAAATTTGCCCCTTTTTAGGTGTGAAGAAAAAATGCGCCGGTTGTGTGTGTGTCCCTTTAAATGCAAATGAGCTTTAGCTCCGCCTCCGTTCAGAAGAGGGCGGAGCTTCAGAGACTCCGGCAATAACAACACAGGCCGATCTCACTGATCCAGAGTCAGGAGTAACAGCAGCGAGTGCAGCCTCACGGAGAGACTCAGGGAGAGCTTCACTTTTACACGTTTCTGAATGTTGGACTGACAGAAGAATATTCCCTGAACACGTGTGTGTGTGTGTGTGTGTGTGTGTGTGTGTGTGTGTGTTGGACTGACAGAAGAATATTCCCTGAACACACGTGTGTGTGTGTGTGTGTGTGTGTGTGTTGGACTGACAGAAGAATATTCCCTGAACACACTTGTGTGTGTGTGTGTGTGTGTGTGTGTGTGTGTGTGTGTGTGTGTGTTGGACTGACAGAAGAATATTCCCTGAACACACTTGTGTGTGTGTGTGTGTGTGTGTGTGTGTGTGTGTGTGTGTGTTGGACTGACAGAAGAATATTCCCTGAACACACTTGTGTGTGTGTGTGTGTGTGTGTGTTGGACTGACAGAAGAATATTCCCTGAACACGTGTGTGTGTGTGTGTGTGTGTGTGTGTTGGACTGACAGAAGAATATTCCCTGAACACACTTGTGTGTGTGTGTGTGTGTGTGTGTGTTGGACTGACAGAAGAATATTCCCTGAACATGTGTATGTGTGTGTGTGTGTGTGTGTTGGACTGACAGAAGAATATTCCCTGAACACGTGTGTGTGTGTGTGTGTGTGTGTTGGACTGACAGAAGAATATTCCCTGAACACACGTGTGTGTGTGTGTGTGTGTGTGTGTGTGTGTTGGACTGACAGAAGAATATTCCCTGAACACACTTGTGTGTGTGTGTGTGTGTGTGTGTGTGTGTGTTGGACTGACAGAAGAATATTCCCTGAACACGTGTGTGTGTGTGTGTGTGTTGGACTGACAGAAGAATATTCCCTGAACACACTTGTGTGTGTGTGTGTGTGTGTGTGTGTGTTGGACTGACAGAAGAATATTCCCTGAACATGTGTATGTGTGTGTGTGTGTGTGTGTGTGTGTGTGTTGGACTGACAGAAGAATATTCCCTGAACACGTGTGTGTGTGTGTGTGTGTGTGTGTGTGTGTGTGTGTGTGTGTGTGTGTTGGACTGACAGAAGAATATTCCCTGAACACACTTGTGTGTGTGTGTGTGTGTGTGTGTGTGTGTGTGTGTGTGTGTGTTGGACTGACAGAAGAATATTCCCTGAACACGTGTGTGTGTGTGTGTGTGTGTGTGTGTGTGTGTGTGTTGGACTGACAGAAGAATATTCCCTGAACACACGTGTGTGTGTGTGTGTGTGTGTGTTGGACTGACAGAAGAATATTCCCTGAACACGTGTGTGTGTGTGTGTGTGTGTGTGTGTGTTGGACTGACAGAAGAATATTCCCTGAACACACTTGTGTGTGTGTGTGTGTGTGTGTGTGTGTGTGTGTGTGTGTGTGTGTGTGTGTGTGTGTGTGTGTGTGTGTTGGACTGACAGAAGAATATTCCCTGAACATGTGTATGTGTGTGTGTGTGTGTGTTGCACTGACCGTGTTCTTGAGGAGGCCGCCGGTGAAGATCCAGCGCTGTGTGTCCAGAGAGCGGTCCGCGGGACACAGGGAGAGTTTGGCTGGGAAAGAGCCGTCTCTGCTCTCGCTGGTCAGAACTGAAGCCAGAGCTCGACTCCGCACATGAACCAACACTTTCGGCTGAGGAGAACCAAACCCAGACATGAAGACATTCACTTGCCTTCGGTGCTTTAGACAAATACACGTCTAGCACACTGATTAAAGCAAACAGAAACACGTGCAGACTGATAATAAGGACACACACACTCCTTAAAGGTGCATTGCGCAACATTTCATGTTAAAAATACCCGTTTTTCTAACCCATACATGCTTAAACAATTGCCTGATGGGCTGAATGAGCCCTTCTCTGATCACTGCGATCGCCTCTATAATCCTGTAAAATATATAAATAAGAGGGATTCGGGACGGCGTTTGAGACTGGGCGTGACGTCACGCGCGTTCACGATCCCCTGGCTATGTCTGGCAGGTTTGTGTATTCGCCACCATTCTCCGTATCAGCAAAGAACTCGAGCGACAAAACTTCAGTCAACTTTCAACAAAAGAAGATGGATTCTAAGAGACCGGCTTGTAGTTCATTCCAAACCCCAACGCAAACTCCACGCAAGACAAAGAAAAGAAAACGTTTGTCTAGTGCCACCAAAAGGGCCAAATTGGAGTCAGACAGGCGTCGGAGTAAGACAAGAGTCAACATCGGGAAGGCTTTCAACAAATGGAGAGATCTCCGGTCCGCTCTAGGGCTCAAACGGGATCCTCAGTGGGCTTTTTTCTTGATAAAACGGTTCATGAAGTGGATACAGTAAACACATAAAACAGTTCAACATGGAGATAGATGGAAACAAAAACCGAAGTTTTCTACTCCCCCCGTTTTCCCCGCACACATAAGTGTGTAATTTACTCAAATGCCTTTCCTTTCATATATTTAAAAAGAGTTGCAATTTATAACTTTATTACCTCTGAAGACATTATGACTGTAAACAAAAGATTTGTGCGTCTGATGCTCCTTTGGTTATGAACAGCTCGTGCGTCTTGCGGGGTTGGAGCAACATGAGGGAGTTTTCATCTTTGGGGGAACTAACCCTGTAAGTGCCGTGAACTGCATGCCATCTTTCGTAAGTACATCAATACAATCTGAGAAGTGTTGCTGGATACGTTTAAGCATCAGTAAATCATAGCAGCTAACCCTAACCCATCTCTTAGCAGCATGAAAACAAAATTATATACAGAGAGCCAGCAAAGAGAATCTGAGAAGTGTGATATGGAAATATTAGAATTAGATTGTGAAGATTTGGAATGTCAGATTGTTAGTGTCGACTCGGTCCATCAGTCCCGGTTCTGTGGCTGGACTCGACGCGCACCTCTATCCTCATGCTCACCTCTATCCTCATGCTCACCTCTATCGCCTCACGCGCACCTCTATCCTCATGCTCACCTCTATCGCCTCACGCGCACCTCTATCCTCATGCTCACCTCTATCCTCATGCTCACCTCTATCGCCTCACGCGCACCTCTATCCTCATGCTCACCTCTATCCTCATGCTCACCTCTATCCTCACGCTCACCTCTATCCTCATGCTCACCTCTATCCTCATGCTCACCTCTATCCTCACGCTCACCTCTATCCTCATGCTCACCTCTATCCTCATGCTCACCTCTATCCTCATGCTCACCTCTATCCTCATGCTCACCTCTATCCTCATGCTCACCTCTATCCTCATGCTCACCTCTATCCTCATGCTCACCTCTATCCTCATGCTCACCTCTATCCTCACGCTCACCTCTATCGCCTCACGCGCACCTCTATCCTCATGCTCACCTCTATCCTCATGCTCACCTCTATCCTCATGCTCACCTCTATCCTCATGCTCACCTCTATCGCCTCACGCGCACCTCTATCCTCATGCTCACCTCTATCCTCATGCTCACCTCTATCCTCATGCGCACCTCTATCCTCATGCTCACCTCTATCGCCTCACGCGCACCTCTATCCTCATGCTCACCTCTATCCTCATGCTCACCTCTATCGCCTCACGCGCACCTCTATCCTCATGCTCACCTCTATCCTCATGCTCACCTCTATCCTCATGCTCACCTCTATCCTCATGCTCACCTCTATCCTCACGCTCACCTCTATCCTCACGCTCACCTCTATCCTCATGCTCACCTCTATCCTCATGCTCACCTCTATCCTCATGCTCACCTCTATCGCCTCACGCGCACCTCTATCGCCTCACGCGCACCTCTATCCTCATGCTCACCTCTATCCTCATGCTCACCTCTATCCTCATGCTCACCTCTATCCTCATGCTCACCTCTATCGCCTCACGCGCACCTCTATCCTCATGCTCACCTCTATCGCCTCACGCGCACCTCTATCCTCATGCTCACCTCTATCCTCATGCTCACCTCTATCGCCTCACGCGCACCTCTATCCTCATGCTCACCTCTATCCTCATGCTCACCTCTATCCTCACGCTCACCTCTATCCTCATGCTCACCTCTATCCTCATGCTCACCTCTATCCTCACGCTCACCTCTATCCTCATGCTCACCTCTATCCTCATGCTCACCTCTATCCTCATGCTCACCTCTATCCTCATGCTCACCTCTATCCTCATGCTCACCTCTATCCTCATGCTCACCTCTATCCTCATGCTCACCTCTATCCTCATGCTCACCTCTATCCTCACGCTCACCTCTATCGCCTCACGCGCACCTCTATCCTCATGCTCACCTCTATCCTCATGCTCACCTCTATCCTCATGCTCACCTCTATCCTCATGCTCACCTCTATCGCCTCACGCGCACCTCTATCCTCATGCTCACCTCTATCCTCATGCTCACCTCTATCCTCATGCGCACCTCTATCCTCATGCTCACCTCTATCGCCTCACGCGCACCTCTATCCTCATGCTCACCTCTATCCTCATGCTCACCTCTATCGCCTCACGCGCACCTCTATCCTCATGCTCACCTCTATCCTCATGCTCACCTCTATCCTCATGCTCACCTCTATCCTCATGCTCACCTCTATCCTCACGCTCACCTCTATCCTCACGCTCACCTCTATCCTCATGCTCACCTCTATCCTCATGCTCACCTCTATCCTCATGCTCACCTCTATCGCCTCACGCGCACCTCTATCGCCTCACGCGCACCTCTATCCTCATGCTCACCTCTATCCTCATGCTCACCTCTATCCTCATGCTCACCTCTATCCTCATGCTCACCTCTATCGCCTCACGCGCACCTCTATCCTCATGCTCACCTCTATCCTCATGCTCACCTCTATCCTCATGCGCACCTCTATCCTCATGCTCACCTCTATCGCCTCACGCGCACCTCTATCCTCATGCTCACCTCTATCGCCTCACGCGCACCTCTATCCTCATGCTCACCTCTATCGCCTCACGCGCACCTCTATCGCCTCATGCGCACCTCTATCCTCATGCTCACCTCTATCCTCATGCTCACCTCTATCCTCATGCTCACCTCTATCCTCATGCTCACCTCTATCCTCATGCGCACCTCTATCCTCATGCTCACCTCTATCCTCATGCTCACCTCTATCCTCATGCTCACCTCTATCGCCTCACGCGCACCTCTATCGCCTCATGCTCACCTCTATCCTCATGCTCACCTCTATCCTCACGCGCACCTCTATCCTCATGCTCACCTCTATCCTCATGCGCACCTCTATCGCCTCACGCGCACCTCTATCGCCTCATGCGCACCTCTATCGCCTCACGCGCACCTCTATCCTCATGCTCACCTCTATCGCCTCACGCGCACCTCTATCCTCATGCTCACCTCTATCGCCTCACGCGCACCTCTATCGCCTCATGCGCACCTCTATCGCCTCACGCGCACCTCTATCCTCATGCTCACCTCTATCCTCATGCTCACCTCTATCGCCTCACGCGCACCTCTATCCTCATGCTCACCTCTATCCTCATGCTCACCTCTATCCTCATGCTCACCTCTATCGCCTCACGCGCACCTCTATCGCCTCACGCGCACCTCTATCCTCATGCTCACCTCTATCCTCATGCTCACCTCTATCCTCATGCTCACCTCTATCCTCATGCTCACCTCTATCGCCTCACGCGCACCTCTATCGCCTCACGCGCACCTCTATCCTCATGCTCACCTCTATCCTCATGCTCACCTCTATCCTCATGCTCACCTCTATCCTCACGCTCACCTCTATCCTCATGCTCACCTCTATCCTCATGCTCACCTCTATCGCCTCACGCGCACCTCTATCCTCATGCTCACCTCTATCCTCATGCTCACCTCTATCGCCTCACGCGCACCTCTATCCTCATGCTCACCACTATCGCCTCATGCTCACCTCTATCCTCATGCTCACCTCTATCCTCATGCTCACCTCTATCGCCTCACGCGCACCTCTATCCTCATGCTCACCTCTATCGCCTCACGCGCACCTCTATCCTCATGCTCACCTCTATCCTCATGCTCACCTCTATCGCCTCACGCGCACCTCTATCCTCATGCTCACCTCTATCCTCATGCTCACCTCTATCCTCACGCTCACCTCTATCCTCATGCTCACCTCTATCCTCATGCTCACCTCTATCCTCATGCTCACCTCTATCGCCTCACGCGCACCTCTATCCTCATGCTCACCTCTATCCTCATGCTCACCTCTATCCTCATGCTCACCTCTATCCTCATGCTCACCTCTATCCTCATGCTCACCTCTATCCTCATGCTCACCTCTATCCTCATGCTCACCTCTATCCTCACGCTCACCTCTATCCTCACGCTCACCTCTATCCTCTATCCTCACGCTCACCTCTATCCTCATGCTCACCTCTATCCTCATGCTCACCTCTATCCTCATGCTCACCTCTATCCTCATGCTCACCTCTATCGCCTCACGCGCACCTCTATCCTCATGCTCACCTCTATCCTCATGCTCACCTCTATCGCCTCACGCGCACCTCTATCCTCATGCTCACCTCTATCCTCATGCTCACCTCTATCCTCATGCTCACCTCTATCCTCATGCTCACCTCTATCCTCATGCTCACCTCTATCCTCATGCTCACCTCTATCGCCTCACGCGCACCTCTATCCTCATGCTCACCTCTATCCTC